CACCGCACTCCAGTCTGGGCGACAGAGTGAGACTCCAACTCAAAAAAATATATATATATTGCTCTGGCTGTTGGATGGAGATGGGTCGAGGGGATGGAGTGGGAAACCCGCTAGGAGCCCCTGCTGTGGGCCGGGGGAGAGGCATGGTGGCTTGGCCCAGGGTGGCTGTGGAGAAGCCACCAGGGGAGGCGTGTGACACAGGCAGGGCTGCAGGGCATGTGGTGCAGGGGCTGGGCCCGTGGGCCTAGATGGGTGCAGGGACTCTGCCTTGCCTGCCTGGAGCTTTGCTGGTAGATGAGATGGGGGAGGGTCCTGAGAGATGAGGAGCCCAGGACGGCATCTAGCTTTCTGACCCAGGATGGCGAAGCCGGCCATGAGCAAAAAACTCTGGAAGGGGGACCAGGCTGCAAGGACAGCTGGAGCTCTGGGGTCGGCGGTGCCGTGAGAGTTCCAGAAGGAATCCTGGAGGGCAAGCTGAACAGCAGGGCCTGGCGCTTGGAGCGGGGTTGCAGACCAAGGCGTACACATCAGTGTCTGAGGAGCAAGGGAAGCCCCAGGGAGGGGAGAGCCGCGGGGGAGCCCTGTGGGAGCCCAGCGTTTAGGGTGCAGAGGGGAGCAGGGCGGACCTGGCAGGGAGACCCAGGAGGCGGAGCTGGGGCCAGAGCAGGAGGCAGGTGAGAGGGAATTTCTAGGAAGTGGGGGTCAGAAGAGGAATCGCAGCCCGGCAGTCAGGTGGAGAACTAACTGCCCACGGAGCTGGTGCCCAGGATAGAGTCTGGGTGACCTTCAGAAGAACCTTTGGGGCAGGCGGGGGTGGAAGTCAGACAGCGTGGGCTGGGGAGGGAGTGGAAGTGAGGAAGTGGAATTGGCGTCAGCTGATGGAGGGGTCGTGAGGGCCTTGGGCACACTGTGGAGCTTGGTGGCACAGCACTGGCCATCTGGGACGTCGGCAGCCCTAGAGGAGAGGGAGCCCAGTCGTCCTTGGCCCTTGGTATGCCACAGAGGTCACTCTGGGCTTCGTGGCAGAAGCACCTCTTTACAGAGACCCACGCAGCACTCAGGGTCAGGGTGTGGTGGAGGCGGGGGGCAGCTGAGACCCTAACCCCCACCCCATAGTCCAAGCTCCTGCACCAAAGCCATGGCTGACACTGGCTGAGCACATGCCATGGGCTGGCTCCCTGCCAGCCAGGGGCTTCCCCGCTGACTTCCTTTCATGCTCACACCAGGCCTGCATCACAGGCATGTGGGGATCCCTTTTCTCAGAGGAAGTGGGCAGCGACTGTGCTGCATGTGCAAGTTGCCCAGCAAGGGGCAGCCTTTCCCCTTCTGTATCATCCGGTTCCCTGTCGGGAAGAGGGTCAGGACACACACCCTTTGTGGTTCGCTTTCCTGTTGGGGCCTCGGCTCTCCCCCAGCACACTGGGAAGATGGGGCCGGCGTTCTCAGCTGAGGGGCATGGGCTCAGTCTGGGGTGGCAGACATGGAAACAGAGGTTGTGCCACCAGCCTGTGGTGGTTCCTCGTCTGGGGCAGCTGCTTGGTAACCTCAAGCGGGGCCACATGGGGGACCATAGTTGCTTGGCTCATTGGAGGACCTAGGTGGGATTTCTCCTCTGCATTCAGGGGCTTCTTTCCAGAGGCTGAGCCCCCCTCTTTCTCCTATGCCTAGAGAGGACTTTGTGCAGGTCGGGAAGGGCCCCACCAACAACACCTACGTGGTCCGCACAGTCAGCGCAGGCCTGACACTGCTCAGTGTGTGGGATGTGGAGCAACCAGGCCTCTCTGACTTCGTGCCCCTGCCGGTCCTCCAGGCCATCTCCCCAGAGCTGTCAGTGGTCGTGGTGGGGGACATCCTCCGTCCGGCCACTGTTTGGACCAGCCTGGAAGGTGAGACACCCTGAACAAGGGAAGCCTTGGCAGTCATTGGCCCTTGCAGATGGGAGGGGGTTCCCAAGTGTTTGACACCCGTCACGGAAGGTGTGCGGGTGGGCTAGGGATGCTCTGGAGCAGTGCCCAGAGAACTGCCCCCGCAGTGGCCCTGTCCAGCCCGCAGCAGGATTCTCGCAAATGAACTTTCACGGAAGCCCAGTCACGTCAGTTCACTTATGTGTTGTCCGTGGCTGGCAGATTGAGTGGCAGCAGCCGTGATCAGGTGGGCTGACATCCCAGCATGCTTGCCTGGCCCTTCCCAGGGAGCGTTTGCAGCCCCTGCTCCAGAAGGGCACCATCCAGCAGGCCTCTGGGTGTCCTGCCCCTGTGCCATCCATCGCTGTAGGGCCTCCGACTGGGAACCACGCAGGGCATGGCTAAGCTGCGGGGAAGCCGGGCTTGCCTGCAACAGGCTGGGAGGCCTGGGAAAAGCGGACATTGGCTGGCTCAGCAGCTTCCAATCTGTACCCGTTCCCATGCCACCTGTATGCCTGAGGAGCACATGTACGATTATTTACTCCATTTTTCTTCTCAAATTGGCTCCACTTTTTTTTTTCTTGAGTCAGAGTCTCACTCTGTGCAGAGGCATACTCACAGCCACCGCAGCCTTGGCCTGCTGGGCTCAGGGGATCCTTCCACATTAGCTTTCCAAGTAGCAGGAACCACAGGCATGCACCACCATACCCGGCTAATTTTTTTTTATTGTAGAGATGAGGTTTCACCGATTTGCCCAGGGTGTTCTCGAACCCGTGGGCTCAGGCAGTCCTCTCACTTTGACCTCCCGAAGTGCTGTGATTACAGGCTTGGAGCACTGCTCCCAGTCACATACCACACATTTTAAAACCCTGTTTCAGCATCTCTTCATTTCTTCTTCTTATTTTTTATTTTTTGAGTGGAAGTCTCACTTCCTGCCTCTCAGGCTGGAGTGCAGTGGCACGATCATGGCCACTACAGCCTCAACCTGCTGGGCTCAGGTGATCTTTCTGCCTTAGCTTTCTAAGTAGCTGGAACTACAGGCGTGCACCACCATGCCTGGTTTATTTGTTTGTTTATTTATTATAGAGATGAGGTCTTCCCAAGTTGCCTAGGCCGGTCTTGAACCTGTGGGCTTAGGCAGTTCTCTCACCTTGGCCTCCTAAAGTGCTCGGATTATAGGCATGAGCCACCATGCACGGTAGGCATCTCTTCACCTCTCATCTTTGGGGTCCTGTGTCCTTTGGTCTCTTGACCCCACAGTGGCACCTCCATCTCGTGGGCCTCCCACCCCCAGCTCTTTCTCTTTTTTGAGTCAGAGTCTCAGTCTGTCACCTAGACTGGAGTACAGTGGCATGCTCATGGCCACCACAGCCTCCACCTGCTGGGCTCAGGCAATTCTTCTGCATCAGCCTTCCAGGTAGCTGGAACTATAGGTGCACACTACCACACCTGGCTTATTTTTGATTTATTATAGAGACAAGGCCTCACCAAGTTGCCCAGGCTGGTCTTGAACCCTGGGCTTAGGCAATCCTCTCACCTCGGCCGCCCAAAGTGCTGGGATGACAGGCTTGAGCCACCACGCCTGGCCTGGCTCCACTTTTATTTTTACCTCATTACATTATTTTAAAAGGAAATGATATGCTACCTTTAACTAAAAAGAAATATAATTTGCCATAAATAGAACGTGTTTGTTGAGTGCTTTTATTGTGGGTACCGCATAAGGTGATTGACTTTAAATCCGAAGTGCTGTGTAGTGACAGCGCTGAGCCTGACGCCTGCTGTGAGTTTGCTAACAAGGAATTGATGAGGCAGCAGGGGATGGGCAGAGGCAGTGCTGTGGGGGAGGGCTGCAGAGCGGGTACCTGGACACAACACCCCGCCCACCCAGAGCAGGGGTCAGCCAAGGCTTCGCACCCAGAGTGGTCCAGAGTCCAAGCAGAGAGGCATGGGGGTGAGAGTTGGGCACGGTGCCCCAGTGTGCAGAGGGCACGTGAGGCAGGGAGGGAGCTGCTGACGGCTCAGGTGGAGGGGCAGGCAGCATGGCTCTCTCTTTAGCCTGGCGAGGGAGCCCCCACAGGCAGTGGCCGTCGGGGCGGGCCGGGCTTCAGCCGTAGTGCCTAGACATGGGAACGGTGACACCCATGGCTTCGTTTGCAGAGCTCTCGGGAACCTGGAGCTCCTCGGCCAGCAGCATCCTCCACGTCGACCCCAAGACGGGCGTGGCCGTGGCCCAGGACGTGGGGTCCGTGACGGTGCACTATGAGGTCGCTGGACACCTGAGGACCTACAAGGAGGTGGGTTCGGGGCCCCTGGAGGCACACGGGGCCCTGTGGCTGGTGTGGTACACTGCCCCGTGCAGAGGGTTTGGAGTGCCTTTCTCTAGAAACACACCTTGTGATCCCTTCTCTGTGAGGAGGAAACCTTGGCTGCCCAGCGCTGCCTGAGGGCTGGGCATCTGGGAGCCATGAGTCTGGGTCTGACTGACTGAGATGGGCACATGGCCCCTTTCCTTCCCAGGATGTGATGGCAAGAGGTGCCTGCAGGGCTGATCCCGGCTCCCTTGCACTTGGGTCTGGCAGCCCCGTGGGCGCTTCCCGAGAGTCAGCGGTTCTCTGGCACCTGCCACGTCAAAGCTCCCCCTGCAAGTCACCTTTGTGTGCTCCTGGAGGCGGCAACCAAAACCTCCTCTGCCCTTCTTTCTCTCCAGCCAAGACTGAATCCATGAGCAAAGTCTGGCTGAGACCTCGTTTTTGGAGCCAGCGTGTGCTTCATTGTATCCCACAGTCTCACCTAATAGTTTGCATATTGAGTGCCATGTCTCTGCAGTCTGGGCGGGCTGGCTGTGGACAGAGGCCCTGTGTGACCGTGAAGCTAAGAGTGGTCAGGGCGGGGGTGGCACAGGCAAAGGTGTGTGACTTGGAGGGCAGAGCAGGGGCCGCTGGAGCGGAGGCTGTGGGGAAGTGGGGTGTGGCTTTGGGACCCGGTCCGGGAACGCACTGGATGCTGGGCAGCTCAGTGCTGGAGGAGCATGTGGGCTCTAGAGCCAACCAGGCACGCCCCAGCCCCACGGAGAGCTGTGTGGCCTTGGACACGTTACTGGACCTCGCTGTGCCTCCGTTTTCTTGCCTGGGGACTGGGGGTGACGGCACTGTGAAGGTTCAGTGCGTCAGCGTGTGTGTTGCACTGGCACAGCACTGCCCACAGCAAGTAGTCCGAGGATGTCACCTGCCGCTGTCACTGTTCAGGGTGAAGGGGTGGAGCTCATGCCGTGCCCCGTGGGCTTCTTTAAGCAGGAGTGATACAGGCCAGGATGTGTTTGGAAAAGTCACGTGGCCTCGGGGGCCGCTGTGGAGAGAATGGGGCTGGCTGCGGGGTGACCAGACTGGGAACTGAGGCCCGGCCCCCAGCGGGCACCACTGGGTGGGGCAGAAAGTCAGGGCAGGTCTGGGAGAGAGTCCGCAGGGAGGCTCGACTGTGCTCGGCAACCTCAAAGGTGAGGCCTGGGGAGACTCCTGGGCCGGGCTGGTGATCAGGCTTCTCTGATAGTGGCGCACAGAGAGGCGGCCGAGATGGAGAAGGGGGTGAGAGTCTGGGCCAGTGAGTTGGGTAGCTGCAGCTCCTTCAGGTGAGGCAAGTGGCAGAGCTGGGCAGGGGCACCCGGAGCTTGCGAGGAAGGCTGGAGACAGGGTGGGAGCCCCCAGCACAGAGGTGGTCTTTGGAGCCCTGGGGGCGGGCTGAAGCGCATGAGCAGGTGCAGGCAGGGGAGGATGTGGGGAGACTGCGGCTGACAGTTAGGAGGAGAAGACAGGAGGCTGGGACACAGAGAAGGGGTGGGGAGTCCCGGGCAGGGCAGGGGCACAGCCCCTGGTCAGTCCCTGGGGGTGGACAGCAGTGACCCCGGGAGCAGGCGATGCTTTGGCAGCAGGGCCCACTGGTGAGTTGGGAGGTGAAGGAGGCCCGGTCACCACTGGCCCTGCATCAGGGCAGCCCTGGGAGCTGCAGGGGCTCCAGGAGGCGTGAGACCCATCCCTGTCTTCCAGGAATTCACATCCGGGTGGAAACCAGGCCTCTTGGAGGCAGGAAGTACTCATGCCTCCTGAGAGAGATGGCCTTGGGCCTGAAGGGCGGGCAGGTCAGGCTTTTCAGGAGGCTGGAGGGGCTCACAGAGGGAACAGAAGGAGCCTGCGGCCTGGGAGTGTTTGAGTGTGACCTGGTCCAGGATGGACCAGATCTGGGGAAATCTGGGCAGACGGGTTCTGGGGGGCTTCTCTATCTGGGCTGTGTGATTTACCTTCTGGCCAGGTTGACTCATTCTGATCGAATGGCAACAAAGCAAAAATGGGTTCTTCTCCCTTTGCTGTAAGGTGAATTAACCAAATTCATGAACAGAGGTCGCGACTGTCCCAGGAGTCAAAGTCCACAAAACCCTCAGCCCACCCAGCCCGGCAAATGCATCAGGCCTGCCCCTCAGCACTGGTGGGCTGCGGGGAGAGGCCCCTCGTTCAGTGAGAATGCTGGGCTGTGAATCCCCCCTGCCTGGCTCCACCTGGCTCTGCCTCGTTCCAGCAAGGTAGTTCGGCCTTGAGCCTCCGTGGTGCCCTTGCCCCTGTGAGATGGGGAACGCCGTCACAGGCCGCAGGGTGAGGTCGTGAAGTGCCCAGCATGGCCTGCACACCGCAGGGGCTCCATAAAGCTGCCTTGGCTCCCCCTAGATTGTGGTCGGCGTCCCTCAGAGGATCATGGCCCAGCACACCCAGCCCACCCAGCCCGGCTTCCAGGAGGCCGCAGCCTCCAAAGTGATTGTTGCTGTGGGAGACAGAAGCTCTAATCTGAGAGGTACAGTATGAGGGGGCTCGGGCAGCCTGTTGTGGACCCTGTTAGGCTCCGGGAGCAGGGATGTGGCTTCCTGGGCCCCTCGGATGGGCTTTACCTGCTTTTCTTACTCAAATTCACTCCAACTCCTGAGTCAGCCCCAGCTCCTGCACTCCTTTCAGCCTTGAGGAAATAAATGCCAGTTCCCCACAAGCCGGGCCGGTGAAAGGAGCCTTCCTCGAGAGCCTGGTTCCCAGGAATGGTCTTTTCTGACCTGGAAGTGCGACTTCAGCCCTAGGGCACCAGAGCCAAGAAAGCCACAACTCACCACCAGAAACGAATGACTTGGCAGCACGAGTCACTGATTTGGGTATCCCAAATCACCTCTCCCAGGTCGCCAGAGAGCCTCGAGCCCATCTCTGCCCGTGGCAGCCTTGGGGTGGTGGCTGCTGGGTCTTGCCATGCCCTCCTGTCCCTCCTCTCTAGGCGAGTGCTCCCCCGCCCAGAGGGACGTCATGGAGACCCTGCACCCAGAGTCCCTGGTCAGCTGCCAGCTGCAGTTCAAGCATGCCATCTTCAACTTCCCCGCACGTGACGTCTTTACCGTGGAGCCAGGATTTGACACTGTTCTGGATAAATTTGCAGGGATTTGGAAGAAAGAAGGGAACTGCAGGGTTCCTGCCTTGTGGTTTCTCGGGTGTTCCATGGGTGGCTCGCGGTAGCCGTTTGTCCCGAGGGGTAGAGGCTGTCAGGACCCCCGCCCAGGGTGGATGCCAGGGGCCTGGCCTTCACGGCTCCCTGTGGCCGCTGGGAGGGGTTGGCCTTCCTGAGCTGAGCAGCAGAAGGAACACAGAGCTCAGAGTGGACCTCGGGTCGGTGTCTCCTCCGCTGTTCTGCCTGTGGGGGCCGAGGCTGCCCCCTGTGAGCCTCCACTCTGTGACGTGGGGACAAAGAGGCCTCGCCCTGCCTGGGTGGGGTGAGCAAGAGGGGAACGGAAGTGTCCCCCACGAACAGGCAAAGGCTGAACCACATGCAGAGCATGACTGCTTACCCGGGACAGCCGACAATGGGGCTGAGGCAGCTCTGTGGGCTCCAGGAACTGCCAGGCCTTGCCCTGGGTGGTCAAGGGAGGCTGTACTGGGGACACAGGAGACGCATCCTATGGGCCAGCCTACCTGCTACGCCCTGGACATGAGCTCCAGAACCGGTGCCGACACTCCGATCTGAACTACCTGCGATTCCTGGCGACCCCTCCTCTACCTAGTCATAGCTCCGGGCTGGCCCAGCAGCCAGCACAGAGCAGGCTCTCAGTTGGTGGCCCTGCTGCCCTCTGCATCCCCTGTGGCCAGCAAAACCCAGGGCCAGCAAGGAGGCCAACCCGCCTGAGGGCACCTCGCAGGTGTGGCCATGGAAGGAGCCTCCCCCCCGCCCCGCATCCAGTCTCCTGAGACCTTGCCCCTCAGCACGCATCCTGCTTGGGTTTATCTGCATGGTCAGGTGTGGAGGGTAGGACAGGAGCCAAAATAGTTACGGTGTGTGCCTCCACGGAACTGCCCTCCGTACCTGGGCCAGAGGCTGTCCTGGGTCAGCCCTGGCTCAGCCTGCAGCCCAGCATCAAGTCCTGGGGCCTGCCATTGATTCTGTCTCATTCTGGGCCAGGCTGGCTGGGTTCTGAAGTGCAGTCTGCCCTGACATGCTCCTGGTCCAGCAGCACCCCTCAAAGGAGGATCCGGGCACTAGAAGATTCTGAGACAGTGAGGGGACTGCTGGTGGCAGGGCATCCTAGCTCAGCTGGGGGCCCTGAAGAGGGATTCCTGAAGGCCTCCTGGAGGAGGTGACATCTCACCTAGGCTTTGGAGGATGTGTAGGAGTTTCCCAGCTGGAGTAGAGAGAAGGGATAACCCCCGTGGGAGGATGGGAGAGGAGACAAGGCAGGACGCGCTTGTTTCCGCAGGCCAGTACTTCTGCCGGGTCAGGATGCGCAGGCTGACAGACAAGCAGCTGAAGCCAGTGAGCCTGAAGACCACAGCCCTGGTGGTCACTGCCTCCCTTCCCGGCAGCCACTTCTCTGCAGAGCAGGTCGGGGCCGAGGTGCCGTTCAGCCCGGGTCTCTACGATGATCTGGCTGAAATCCTTTTGAGCAACCGCTACCCCAGCTCCGACGTCAAGGTCTTTGGGGCTCCGGAGGTTCTGGAGAACTTAGAGGTGAGCAGTGTCCGGTGCTGGGTCAGGCGGGAGCCGGGGGCATCGGGAAGGACCAGGAGGAGGGAAGAGCGTGGCGTGGCTGTCCCAGGCCCGCTCGCTTTGAAGTGGAAGTGTGCAGGGAGAAGTTTCTCAAGCAGGAGAGTGTGCTCCCCTTTTCTTGCTCCTGTGGTGCTCCTGTCCCCCAGTCCAGGGCCCCACACATGGACCGGAGTGTGCTTGGTGAGCGTGTGCTGTGCTGAGCACAGGGTTCAGTGAACCGCATACTCTGCAGGGGGCAGGAGGGGCCTGGTCCCTGCTGGGCACCGGCCTATCTCCAGTGCTCACTTCTCTTGGGCTAAGCAGAGGTGCGTGGGGTAGGTTCTGGGGGATGGGACGAGGGACCCCCTGGCCTTTCCGCCTGTGTCTCTTGCTGTCTTGCTGCAGCTAGCTCTCTCTTCTCCAAGACACACCTGTGAGCATTGCTGGCAAGGGAGGCAGGCCCGCATGGGGCCCTGGGCTGCCCCCTTGGCGTGTCAGTGCTTGGGGGTGCTTCATGTTGGCTTGGCTTCTATTTTTTGAGTCAGAGTCTCACTCTGTCACCCAGGCTGGAGTGCAGTGGCATGCTCACGGTCACCACAGCCTCTATCGGCTGGGCTCTGGCGATCCTTCCTCCTCAACTTTGCAAGTAGCTGAAACTACAGGCATAAGCCACCATGCCCAGCTTATTTTTTTATTTATTGTAGAGACAAGGTTTCACCAAGTTGCCCAGGCTGATCTTGAGCTCAGGCAGTCCTCTTGTCTCAGCCTCCCAGAGTGCTGGGATTACAGGCTTGAACCACTGGGACTGGCCTAACTTTTTTTTTTTTTAAGTTGTGGGCTCACTCTGTTGCCAAGGCTGGAGTGCAGTGGCATAATCACAGCTCAATACCTCCTGGGTTCGGGCAATTCTTCTGCCTCAGCCTCCTGAGTAGCTGGGACTACAGGTACATGCTACAACATGCAGCTAATTTTTTATTTTTTGTAGAGATGAGTTTTTGCTATGTTGCCCAGACTGGTCTCAAACTCCTGACTTCAAGCGCTCCTCCTGCCTCAACCTCCAAAAGAGTAGGGAATATAGGCATGAGCCACCGCGCCTGGCCTGGTTTGGCTTTTTTTTTTTTTTTT